TTTTTTTTTATGAGGATTTCATTGACATGTTATGTAAGACTCAGTTTGAGTTTTCCTCCCGCAGGGCTAAGACTGTATCCAAAAGGAGGATGGAAAAACACAGGCCCTTCATGAGGAAAGACACACATCAGTCCTCGGTGTCTTGATTTTCGTCATATTAGTGATGAGGATTACTTCATTCATTTCTTGAATGGTGCACTGAGCAGTTCACAGTCTCCTGCCGCCCATTCATTAAAAGCAAAAAGGCTGTGATGTATTCAACTACACCTGGGAGCTGCCCGTGCAGCACACAGCCAGGCTGTTCAGTGAAGTGCCTCTTTTATGGAAAAAAGCAGCACATTCACAGCTGATGCAGTTAATACACTCATTTCGCTATGACAAATCTGATCTATTCGTTATGTGACTTCATGAGAAGCAGCTCATTTTGGTGAAATAAATGGCTCTCATGATCAAATTTCTTCGGCTTCAACAAAGTGTGCATTAAGTGGAACATTTTAAAAAGCACACACAACTTGTTTTCTGAGCCGTTCATGGGAACATCAAAAGACAAATAGCAAGTAAAATGGGAACTAGTTTTGAATTGATTGTTACAGTTTCAGACGTTATGCAGACTGACATGCGAAACTTGATTAAAAACTTTTTTGTTTTGTTTTTATGGAAAAAGAACTGCTGACATGGCAGCAACATTAATAAACACTAACTTGAGGAGACATGGAGGAGAACGGAACGTGGCATGAAGCACACACAATGCTCGACTGAAGAGGGAATGAAAACAGAGTGACTGATGAATGGAATGGAAATACTCTGGTCTCTATTCCTCATCTACCCTGTATGTTGTATGTAACAGGTCTCTCTTGTAAATGAGTCCCTGAGGCTCAGTGGGAACTAATCTGTATAAAATAAAGGCTGAATGAAAAAAAAAAAAAACCTGTCTAGATGACTACTGCGGACAGGTGAAAGTGGGCGGAGCAGGGGCTGACTGAGGAGGAAGTGGCTGATAACAGAGGAAAACACCACATGGAATAAACCAAGCACAATGAAAACACATCAACATCTACAAAAACTCCATCCATCCATCCACCCATCCATCCATTATCTTTTACCTACTTCTTCCTTTTCGGGTTGCAGGCTTCACTTGTACCCATGTCCAGCAGTCACTGTGCAAGAGGTGGAGGACATCCAGGACAGGTCTCCAGTCCATCACAGGGGCAGAGACAAACAAGACAAACCACCATTCACTCTCTCACTCACACCTAGGGACAATTTAGAGTTACCAATCAACCTAACATGCATGTTTCTGGTCTGTGGGAGGAAATTGGAGTACCCAGAGAAAACCCACGCTTACATGGAGAAAGCATGCAAACTCGTCCCAGAAAGGCTCACTGCCAGGATTTGATCCGGCAACCTTCTTGCTGGGAGGTAGACGTTCTATAAACTGTGACACCATGCTGCCCACAAAAACTTCAAACAGATTAAATAAACAAACACACATCCTGCCAATCTTGAGCACCGTTTTACATGCAAATCTTACCTGCAGCAAGCAGAACAATCTCAGTTTGAAAATTCAGGGAGAAATTCTTAATGGTAACAGCTCCTAGACTGGGATCTATTCCAGTGCAGAAATTAGCCATCTGAACTCAAACCTCAGAATATCATAACAGTTCAAGTGCATGTTATGTCGTGAGTGTTAACAGCCTGTTGCTTGCATCAGACAGTTACAAAGACTGAAAAAACAACATCTTCCATTTAGTAACGTTTCACACAGAACATTACAAAACAGACTGACTTCCAACACAACTATGGTGTGAATAAGCAGAAACACTTTGGCCATGTCTGCCTCAGACAAGTCGGTGGGGGAGAAGGCGGACGCCAGAGACCATCCTAGCATTATCAAACTGGTTGACCCACTATGTGAAGGTGCTATTTATAAGACTGAGTTTGTTGTGGCTCCTCGGACTGATGAAGTTTTTTGGATGAAACAAAACTTTTGCCTCACATCTTCTAAAAAAGGTGTTTTATGAAGAAAAACATTGTAAATATGTTGTTTTGTATTGAATTATAATTCCTAGCTTTTGTGAGTTTCTCGTTTTTAAAGAGTAACCAAAAATAGCCACATCTCGATAACAAACGAGCTCAGAAAATTAAAATTATGTTGAAAATCAAGCCTGCATAAGAGAAAAATGAAACAAACTAAAGAGCACTGTGAATGAAAATGAGTACAAAGATTCATAGTTTTGGACACATTTTCATCAAAAGTGTTTAACAAATGTGATCAAAATGCATTTCTGAGAAAAGCAGCATTACATTTTTACACAATGTTCCTTTTGTATTATTCTAAACCCTTTAAAACCTTGTTATTAAGCTGTCAGAATAAAATAAGTTTGGTCTGTATTAGCAAATCTGTCACAGCAATCCATTAGCGAACTTACAATGAGCTCCAGTTAATCCTGGCTGCCTGGCTTGCAGTAACCACATTAGACATTTTCCTAACACAAGTTTGAATTTCTGGAAGTTTAATATTTATTGTTGTATATGATGGTACACGTGGACGAACTCCTCTTTGAAGGTTTTGTTAGTGAAAATGAAACTTATTTTAGTCTATCAACAACACTGGACAAGAGAGAAGTTGAGTTTGTGAGATGCCTGGTGACCTGGAAGTAAAAAGTAACAGAAGGCGTTCCCGCCCACTGGCTCCACAGGCACCATGTTGCCCCCACTCTCACCATCAGCTGCATCCCCCATCACACACACACACACACACAGACACACACAAACTCTTTAATACTTAACACTGTTCCAGTGTAGCGTTGCTTAGAATGGCCACCTCCCAACAGTAGATAGTCCATGTCATCCTTAAAGGAGCTAACTTTAAAAAAAGTAAGGTCTTCTGTAGCTTAAAAGAAAATTTAAGAAAGAAGATGAGCCGACCTTTACTTTCGTCTCTCTGCTAGGGAAGCCCTGCTGGCTCCATGCCCAGATAACTTGATGTATAAGGCTTGGATCCCTGTTCAGTGACGGTGATCCAGGAAGCAACAAACTACTTTAAAAAAATAAAAATAATAAAAAGCAGCATTGATTTAAAATTTTTTTTTTTACATTTTTGTGTGAGGTTTTTGTTTTTATGTGCAACTTCTGCCAGAAAACTGAACAAAAGCATATCCTCAAAGAAATATTGACAGAATTATTTGCACAAGTGATGCATCAGTTCAGGTCGATGTGCTTTGTCTGAAGCCGCTGCTGCAGGAAAATGATGAAGGAGACCTCCTTGAGCCTTTACCACAACAGGGAAAATGCAAAGTTGCATGGTAATAAAATGCAGTTTTAATTTTTTTATTTTTCCTGAACGCTGACTCGCTTTGTCTACGGTTTCTTCAGAGTCCTTAATGGTTTTCCTGCTGCTCCATAGGATCATTTATAAAAGCAGCCTTGACGGTCTCTCTGGGCTACAGCAGAGAGAGTGCTCACATCCCCTGCTTTAGATGCAAAGACATAAGTGGAAATATGAGATCAGCATTTTTCCCTCATTCATTATTTTTATTCTCTGGTGGGAAAAGCAGTTTCAAATCACCAGGGTCATCGTGTTTAGTGTACTAAATATAATCTGTAGGTCATGTGTGCATGCTCGTAGTATTTTCATGCAACTCTCTAATGATGCAGTTTAAATTTACATTAGCATTTTTGTTGCTACTTAGAAGCCATTTTTTATACGTTATAAAGGAAGGTTTTTAAGGTTATTTCTTCCATTTTAAATCTGATCTTCCACTTAAGTAACCATGGTTACTGTAATGTATCTTTGAAAGAAGAACAAGGCAGCTGCCACCAGCTGAAATGGCTGAACAGACATTGTTATGAATGACAATAGAGTTTCTCTGAATGTTTTCAGGTAAGTAGGTCAGATGTTCAATAAGGTTATTTTTTTTAGAAGTGTGGTCTTGCCATCTGAATTGCATCCCATCTTCTTTTCCTGTGTTCTCCTAGAAGATGCCTCCAGTTTACAGGGGTTAAAAATAGATATACCCCTGCAGTGCAGCTTGGGCCTAACTTCATTTTCACGGGGGAAATGAAAAGCACACATACTCCTCTGGCTGGAGGAATAGAAGGAAAAACAATAACCTTCAAGATCCAATGACAACGATTTTCAGTTCATATAAGAGGCTAAAAGAGAGGGAGCAAATGCCAAAACAAGGAGCCATTTTTCATGTTTAGAAATGTCTTAAAATATAGTTTCTGATGAGCTTTGTGCAGGATTGAATTACTCCTCCTGAAAAAAATAGTTTCTAATCTTAACGTGTTGGAAATTAAACAAAAACAAAATATATATTTTCTCCTAAATAACTAGTCATGGTTTGATGGTAGAATAATAATCACAATCTTTGACTTTGTCATACAGATATTAACATTTTATTTGCTTCATCAATTATTCCGTTTTCACCTTTCGCAAACACAGACATACTTTTTTGATTTTCCCTATTGGAGCGTGAACAAACTTCAGATCTCACCTGTGGATAAACAAGGCAAGGAAGGTAGATGATTGGAAAGAGAAGGAAATGAAAGGAAAGATGCACCGAATGAGCAGAGAAAGCAACATTGCAAAAAACAAAAAAGGGAGACGGGTGAGAACATGAAACAGGCTGAAGCCAGAGTGCGACAGACATGCAGAGGAGGAGAAGGAGGAGGAGAGCACAGAGGAAGGAGGGGGCAGAGATGCTGGAGAGACGCTGGATGAGTCAAAACCCCTGAGCTCCTGAGAGTTCTCTAGTGCTGAAAAGATGGATAACATGTGCCCTCTCTGCCAAGACATGCCAATGACAATGACATAATTATCATGAAACAAAAAGACACGCTGCAGAGCCTCCGACTCATGCTTGGATCTTTTATTTATTATTATTCACTCATTTATTCATCATTTCCTTCACACTCTTCAGTATCATTTTTGCAATGACATCACTGAAAAACTTACCCCTAAGATATTCTGGAAAAATAAATAGTGCTCTTACTTCTACAGACAATTTGCTCTTACGGAATAATTTTCACACATTAATAAAATAGGTACTTTTACATTTTCATTTTTATTTTACACAGCTATGTATGGGCAGTTTGGCTTGTAGCATGACTGGATAAAGTAATGATCACAAAACCAGGTTTAACAGGCTATGATCAGAGCAAGAGGGTAATTCTACTTCTTCTTGTCGGGGAGAGAGAATAAAATAATGCTGCACATGTTTGAGTCTGGTGAACCTCGATATCACTGTCGGCGCTCTTTATCTGCGAGTCTCTTTGCTTTATTCTGGAGATAGCGTGCCTTGCCCTCTTCAGAACGTGTCTGCTCGTCCTCTCCTTCAATCTGAAGTTAAAAGAAAGCAAAAAGACAAAATTTGTATTTAGATGCATTTGTCATTTACTAATAGGTGCTCACTAGGAGGCCTCAGCAGCTGTATCATGCCGTAGAACAGAACTCTGATCTAATTTACCACACAGCGCTGCGGTAATAAAAGACATTCATCATCTTGGTGAAACGCACATGGTGGAAGGTTAAAGAGGCATTTGACTATAAAGGGTACAGCAACAAATCTGGAAGCTTTTAAAGGCATGCCAGTTTTTTAGCAGACAACTTGTTCATGCAACACTGAGGCAATATTGAGAAAAGGTGATGGGTAAGTCAGACATGCAGAGTTCAAGGATGCTAGAACAGTAAACATGTTTGTCAAATATACTATATGTTCTAGTTATGATATAAAATAATATAGCATTATGTGATAGTATTTCAGAAACAGTATTAGTAGTTGTTTTTCCTGATTTTAGGTAAACACAATTAGATGATGCACGTTTCAAAATGTTTGTGCATAATACTGTGAAACCAAAGTGTTTTTGCTTAGCTTTATTTTACTATCAGGATCTCAAACCTCCCCATGTTTAGCAACATTACAACTACTGATACTGACAAATCATCATCCACGGGTTTACAGCTGATGTAAATCACAATTGCATGTTTGTTTGTTTTTTATTTATGTAGGAATTTCAAAACATTTTTTGGGATTTTTATTTATTATATGCATCTCTGCTTTGCTGCTGATTAGTGGGAGGAAGAATTCACTAGTCTTCACAGTTAATTAGACTGTCAGGCAACCTCGTGTTTTAAACAATAGCACCACCATCGACCATGTCAACATGTAATTGTATGGCACTGTTTGCTTCCCCACTACTTCCTTTGAGTACTTGCTGCTCACACAGAGGAAGGTTTGTGAGCATTTAGGTTGTTTTCACACCTGATAGTCCAGTAGACTCGGTTCGATTCGGGACCAATATTCAAGACATTTTGTTTACATTTGAGCTGGTGCGTTTGCATTCACACTGCACTGTGCAGTCGAGTCAACCTGTTGAACCAACCTATTCCCCCACTTGCCTGTGGGGGCGCTGCACCAAGAACTACTGAAAGAAACAACACAAAAACCTCTGAAGACACGTCTTCTTCTTCTTCTGGAAATAAAAACAAAAACGGAGTGGCATCAAGTTTTAGCAGTTTTAAGAGTTATATTTTATCATTTTTCAAAAATGGACTCAGCACGAGCAGAAGATGAGGCAGAAGACCACTGAGAATATTGTTTTTCACACAAGGCAGCTGACGGCTCCATATGAGGTAAGAGAAATGCGTGTTTGTTTGCCCTGCGCTGTACTCCACTTCTTGCTTGAGGAGCGGGGCCCGGTCTGTTTACATTCACACTGTACTCGAACCGCGCTGGAGTTCTCTTCTACCGGACCGAGACCTAGGTTTTAGCCCGGGCCAGAGTTCGCCTTTTTGTTCCGTGACAGAGTTCGATGGCGTGTTCACACCTCCCCAAACGAACCAGACTTTCTAGGAAAACGAGCTAGTTTGATTAAAGCGGACTAAACAGGGCTGGTGTGATGTTAGACAGGATCTACTTCTGAAAAAGAAACCCAGTTTACCTTTCAGTTTCCTTACTAGGTTTTCCACGTGAAGCTGAAAAGAGATGTGAGTCGACCAAGAAACCCAAATATTTATAAGAATCGACAAATTCAATAGGGATACCATTTGAGGATAAAATCAGAGGAAGAACTGATGGGACAGACTTCCTGTTTGAAAAAAAGCATCCCTTTGGTTCTATCGGCATTTATGACAAGTTTGAGACGGATCAAGTCTGACTGGATGATGTCAAAGGCGGATTGCAAAAGCTGGAGAGCCTTAGCAACTGTTTTAGCTCTACAATAAACAACTGTCATAAGCATAGAAATGTAAGGATGCATCAGGGATGTTTTGACCTACAATACCTATGTAGATTGTAAAGAGGGTGGGTCCTAAGACTGAGCCTTGTGGTACGCCATTACTGACTGTTAGATAACTAGAGGATATACCATTATGTCGAACACATTGCCTCCGATCTGAGAGATAATTAGAGAACCTGATCAATAATAATGAATGGAGTGGAGTAGTAATAGGTTGGACACAACATGTCATGACTCATACAGATGAGAATATGAGCAATGAACAGCACGGTTGTGAATATCTTATCAGAGAAGCCTGTTCAGGAATATACAACTAAAGAAGTGGTTCGTTTGCTGAATGACAGTTATATAACATACTGCTCAGCCAGTTCTGCTTTTGCCATTCAGCTGAATATAATCATCAGTTCCAGTTCAAAGATTTTTTTTAAATATAAAAAAAAAACAAAAAAAACATCACGTTTGAACACAGCTTGGCAATTTTAAACCACATCATTAGATATCATGTCAAAAGGTCTTTGTTCTAAATTGCTATATAAATAAAAACAGAAATATGATTGTCACCTGCAGATTTAATTCTCAAAACAGAAGTCACTTCTGAAATAGGACACATACACAAGCAATTTATTTAGAAGGTATTTATTTTCTTGTAATTTATCACTCAGTGATGCTGTGCTTTGTTTACTTAAGTGTCTAGAAGGAAGCAAAAAATTCCCATCACTCAGTGAACAATCCCACATATTAACTAATAATAGAGCCTGAGACAAAAATATTTTGCTAGTTAACACCTCAGACTGAATTCCAAAAAGCACATCTGCACAAGCTCAAAAACACATTAGACACGTCATTAGACACTAAATTTTATATTTTTTCTTATTGCACTTAGAACTGAGTTAAGACCAGTAATTTGAAAATGTTAATGTCATATTGTGTTGTTCAGTATTCACTAGGGGCGGCTGTGGCTGAGTGGTTAGAGCAGTCGTCCTCCAATGCGAGAGTTGGGGGTTCGAATCCACCAGCAGTCACATGCTGAAGTGTCCCTGGGCCAGACACTGAACCCCTCATAGCTTCTGATGTGTGTCCCATCAGTGTATGAATGTGATCTAAAGCTCTGATTAGTCTCTTTAGAAAGATTTGTTCAATTAGCTTTGTAGAGATCTAGTAGAGTGCTGTATGAATGGGTAAATGAGGACACAGATTGTAGTGTAAAGTGCTTTGAGTGTCTTGATAAGATAGAAAGGCGCTATATAAGTACAGTCCATTTACCATTTACTAGAGATATAAGTTTTAAAAAATATTTATCATTCAAGATTTCTAAAACAAGAGCAGGAAAAGGTGCGTGTTTAGAAAATGAAAATCTTTGTAAATGTGAAGACAGGTTGTGCACCAACAGAACATGTGGATGCGAGTCCATACACAGATACTTCAAATGTGCTGGGACTCAGACAGATGATCCGTTTCTGTATTATTTGTTATTTACATTGAGTATCATCCAAAATGTTGAACTTAATTAACTTTTAATAGGCTTGTAAAAAAGAGCCCATGTTAAAAAATAAAAGTCAAATAGTGCAAAAAGACCTTGGCTTGTATTGTCAGAAGCTGTTTCTAAAGTTTTGTTGTAATTAGGAAATACAAAAATGTGACACACTAATTATTTTTCTGGTAATGGTTTACAATTTTTAACTACCAATTTTCTGATTGGATGATGATTATCTTATTAGAAATGCTCTGATGGCCTCAGTGCCAGAAAAAGTTTTTAAAAATGCACGGCAGATCGGTTAAAATATTTCAAACTTTGAATTTTTAATTAAAGTTGAATAACGAAATGCTCTTTATAAACATGTCTTGATTAGATTAAGATTTTTGTTTTGTTAGTTTTTTTTCTTTCAGCTGCTCCCTTCTTCAGGGGTCGTCGTCACAGCGAACTAACTCGCATGAAGACTTGGCAATTGGTTTTACGCCGGATGCCCTTCCTGATGCAACCACAGACCACCGAGGTACCACAGCCCTCTATGTGGAGCAGAGAGCTGCTATCTAGTGCACCTGGGGGAGCAGATGCTGAGGGTTAAGGGCCTTACTCAAGGGTCCAGAATGGGGCAAATGAGGATGGAGACAGGTATGGGTGCTTCACCAATCCCACCCACATTTTGATGTTGTCGGTCCGGGGGATTGAACCAGTGACCTTCCAATCACACAGCTACCTCCTTTAACCTCTTTTCCACCACTCCCCTAGATTAAGTTCTTAATTGGGTTAAATCAAAATATGAAATAAGCAATTTTCTGTAGTATACTAAACAATTACAGTAAACACCACAGCATCCCTAATATTAATCAAAATGAAAAGCAAAATGAATCTAAATGTGAGAAAAATGCAAGGAGGTACTCCTTTGTGTAGGAATGAGCCGTTATTAGAGTGTGCTTCTGTGGCACTGCTGAGAAACAATGTGAGTGTTTAGAAAGTAGTCATGAAGCAGGGTCTACTCTAGACAAATTGAAATTCTTCTCTTAGATCAGGGTGCTTCTGCATCAAGTCCTGTAATTGTTCTTACATTTTCATCAAAAGTGCAATTTTTTTTGTTTAGCTTTATTAGTTTAGTCGCACATATAATGCCAAAAACACATTTTAAATGTAAAGTTTTCAAAATGATCATCCCAAGTAGCACTGCATTCGCTGTGAAAGAACACAGCAGTGACTGAGGGGGAGGAAAAGAACTTTGTAAATCTAGAGCGTTTAAAATACGGCAATCAACTCTTGTTACAAGGCTGTTTTGCTCCGTTAGTTTTGCATCAGCCACAAAGAAATACAGAAAAGTTTATTTTTTTTAAATTTTTTTTATTGAAGAGTTTCTCATTGACAGCACGATGGATCAGTGGCTAGCACTGTTCCCTCACAGCAAGGAGGTCCAGGATTCAATCCTCAGGTTGGATCTGGGGTCTTTTAATGTGGAGTTTACATGTTCTACTTGCATTTGCGTGGGTTTTTTCCTGGTACTCCGGTTTCCTTGCATGAAGAAACATCCATGTTAGTCTGCCTTCAGGCCAAGGCCTCTCTTGCAAGAGATACAGTATGTGATCTCAATGGGATTTCCATCCATCCATCCATCC